GGCAGAGAGGCAGAGAGGCAGAGAGGCAGAGAGGCAGAGAGGCAGAGGCAGAGGCAGATCTTTGCGAGTATGATGTCAGGCTGGTCTACATAGCAAGCTCCAGGATAGCCAGAGTTACACACACACACACACACACAGAGAGAGAGACAGAGAGAGAGACAGAGAGATAGACAGAGAGATAGACAGAGAGACAGAGAGAACACCAGGTGACACAGCTGCAAGTCCTGCAATCCTGGGAGACATCTTTGGAAACCTAGATTCAGCACATCATGGGGTGGGCAGTATGCTCCATATGTGAGCACAGATTGAGACCGAACAACTGGGCAGACAGACATACCTGACATTAGGACAAGTAACCTTTTGAAGACAATATTCAAAGAGGAAAACACAAACGCAACGGACCACAGAAGGCACAGGATGCACAGGAAATTGTCTAGGCTGTTTGAGAAACCACTTCAAACAGAGGCTGATTCTGTGATCCCAGCACATTCCTTTTATGCTCCTTCCTCTTCCCTTTTAAAGAACCTCTGCGTTTCTTATTTTTAGGATGCAGACTTTGGTTACCTGTGGAAGGGGATGACTGTGGAGCTCAAGGCTGTGCTCCTCCCGGACCACGCCCCCAGCGCCTCACTGGGGGATTGTAGGCGGGGCTCCTCCCTGACCACGCCCCCAGCGCCTCACTGGGGGATTGTAGGCGGGGCTCCTCCCGGACCACGCCCCCAGCGCCTCACTGGGGGATTGTAGGCGGGGCTCCTCCCTGAGCTGCACCACTAGTACTAGTCATCCTTCCCTCTGGTCTGTCTGCTCAGTTTTACGGAGAGTGTCGCTGTGTACCCTGGCTGTCCTGGAACTCACTCTGTAGACCAGGCTGGCCTCGAACTCAGAAATCCGCCTGCCTCTGCCTCCCAAGTGCTGGGATTAAAGGTTGGCAGCACGCCTTTAATTAAAGGCCACCACCACCGCCAGGCCTTTGCCAGCGTCTTTGAAGGTTATTTGTAAATTCCGGTGTCTTCTCTTCTCTCCTGTAATCAACCCTACTCATGGCCTCTAGAGGGCGTACTCTGCCAACATGCTCTCTGCTTTCCAGGGTTTTATTTTTGCTTTTTTATAAATAAACTTCATTATATATTTTTAAATACTTGCAAATAAATTAAAACATTATATACCAAAATTATCAGACCGAGGTCTGTACAACAATGGGAGTAGAATAGTATACAGTCAAAGCAGGTATTTGGACAGGAAATTGCAGAGCTTCTTTGTGTTAGATATATGCTATCAGTGTGGAACTCGTTTTAATGCATTCATTCAACACAGAAAACGAAACGTCCGTCACAGAGTTAGAATTAGAAAAACAATTAGTAGCCGGGCGGTGGTGGCGCACGCCTTTAATCCCAGCACTTGGGAGGCAGAGGCAGGCGGAGGATTTCTGAGTTCGAGGCCAGCCTGGTCTATAGAGTGAGTTCCAGGACAGCCAGGGCTACACAGAGAAACCCTGTCTTGAAAAACCACACACACACACACAATTATCCTTATATCATTTCTTATAACTTGATTTTCTTTCTTTTTTATTTTGTCTCGGAAAAAAAATCAGTAATTCTTTTTAAGGATTTTATTTATTCACTGTTACTGTAGCTGTCTTCAGACACACCAGAAGAGGGCATCGGATCCCATTACAGATGGCTGTGAGCCACCGTGTAGTTGCTGAAAGTTGAACTCAGGACCTCTGGAAGAGCAGTCAGTGCTCTTAACCACTGAGCCATCGCTCCAGCTCAAAATCAGTAATTTTAAAAGACAATAAAGTGACAAAAGTATACAAAGACATGAAGGAAGAACTGAGCAGATGGCTCAGAGGTGAGGTCTTTGTCATTGACACATTCTAAAGTTGAAAACAAAATTGTACAAAACTATGTGTTTTCTGTTGACAGCTTAAATCCCAGGAGCCCAGGCACCAAACTCAAGAGCGTGAGGAAGAGCTTCTGCTTCAGCCGTGTGTGGTGATGTCTGCCTGTGACTGTAGCTCGGGAGGCTAAGGTAAGAGTGTGAGACTGAGGGCTGCAAGCCGAGAGGCCCTGCAGGAGCTTCCATCGCTTTAGCTGTCTAATTCTTTTTCCCGTTTGCCCCACCCCCTAAGTGCTAGAGCACCCCCGTGTGCCATATGAACATAGTGCTGTGCTCTAGAGATGACCTGCGCCCCTCAGGCGTTAAATATTATTGCTGGTCTCAATCTTCTGCATGCCAGGAAACTGCCCAGTTGGATCACCCACACGTGTCTCTCAGACATTAGAGTATTCCAGAACATTCCAGAAGCACGGCTGAGGCTCTAGAGAACCTCCTCAGTGAGACATGCATTGGTACTTGAACTGAAAAAGAAGTCACATGTCTCTTCCTGATCTTCCAGCAGTTTCTTTCACCTTCTGGAGGATAGGGTCACAGCCAGGCCTTAGAAATGTTTGGTTGAGACTCAACATGAATCTTTCTTTTTCTCTATAGAAAATGTTTGTCTGTCTTTCTGCTTATCTATTTAAAGACTGGGTTTCTCAGCATAGTTCTGGCTGCCCTGGAACTCACTCTGTAAAGCAACCTAGCTTTGAACTCAGAGCCCCCTCTGCCTCTGCCTACTGAGTGTGGGATTAAAGTGGCACCAGACCATGGCATGAGTGTGACAATGACGTAAAAGGACATTTGTAGGAGTCATAAGGACTCTAAGAATTTAACTAAGGACAGGAACCTCAGGGACAGGCTCCGTTACCCACTGAGCCGCCTTGCTAGCGTCTCTCCACCTGATTCACTTTAAAAAGCATATTTATGTCTTATTTATGTGTGTGTGCACAAGAAGGCCAAGAGGAGGCTGAGGAGGCCCTGGAGCTGGGTGATACCCCAGTGTGGGCGCTGGGAAGCCAGTCCCAGTCCCCTGCAAGTACTCATAACGGCCTGCTCCCTGCCCCCATATCTTCTGAGGCAAAGTCTCTCAGTGGAACTGGAGCTCCCAGAGGCAGCTAGGCTGGCTGGCCATGAAGACTCAGGGACTCTCCTGTCTCTCACTCTCAGCCCTGGGGTTACAGGAGTGTGCTACTAAGTCAGAGTTTTACATGGGTGCTGGGATTCTGAACCCCAGTCCTCATGTGGTGTGAGGAACAATCTCCCCAGAGTTCAGTACACCACACGTGAGGTGCAGAGTAGACCCCAGGGCCTTTGCACATGCTGAGGGCTGAGCCACACCTCTAGACCTATTCTTAACCTTTCATTTTGAAACAGTCTCACTAAGTTGCCTAAGCTGGACTCAAACTCACAACCCTTCTTCTTCAGCCACCTGGGTAGATGATGCAGTGAGCCTGTGTCACCAGGCATGATTCGAAGTTGCTTTTCCTTCTCTCCAGAGGAAATAAAGAAAGCTTTGTTGGCTGCACCAGAATGAAGGCTCCAGGGCTCTGTGTACTGTTCTTGGGGACAACTTACAGTGTAAAGCTCAGGTATGTTAAGAGTACACACTGGGCATGCAGGAGGCACTGGTGTCCATCAAAACACCAAAATAATCAGTCATGTCAGCTAGGTCCAGCCTGTACTCATGTGCCTGCGTCTGGGTAGGCTGCTGTGCTCTGAGGGGCTCAGGCTTGTTAGCCCCACAGTGTGGAGAGAGCCCCAGCCTTCTGCTGCTTCACGAAAGGGAAACAGAGGGAGCAGAGAGAAAGTACTCTTACCCTCACATTCTCCATGGGGAAACTGAGTCTCTGCAGCAGGAGTTGCAAAAATAAATTTTACAAAACTTGTTAGCAATCCCAGGAAAAGAAGGGTGCCCCACGGATAATAGCTAGACATTTAAACCCAGGACCCCTAGGTCTCACCATTCAACCAAAATCTAGATGGAGAGTCACCTAGGTCAGGTGACTCTTGCCGAGCAACATGACCTTTCTGGTCTAACCTAGGCTCCTGTCCTCCAGGCTTTGGCCAGAGAGAACAGTCCTTCTTCTACTCTAACTTGAGTCCATCACAGTTCGCTTAAAACAACTCTGAGGAGAAAAAAAAAATGGAACGGAACCCAGGAGGGCTAAGCATTCAGGCTTCTCTCCTTGACAAAGGCCTGGTGGGGTGGCCCAGTGGTTACAGCACTGACTGCTCCCTCAGAGGACCGAGATAAATTTCCCTGAACCCTCATGGCACCTCACAAACACCTGTAACTCCCGTTCCAGGGGATCTGACACCCCCTTTGGCCTCTGCAGTTATTGTATACAGTGGCACACACAGACATAGATGCAGGAAAATACCCAAATATATAGAATACGTTTTATTTATTGAATATTTACTGTGTATGCAGACATAAGTTTTGTTTCAGTATTTATATTATATAATCCATCCTTTTTAAATTCTAAATTCTTTTCAAGATTTATTTTTTTATGTACATTGGTGTTTAGCCCATATATATATATATATATATATATATATATATTTATATATATATACACACACACACACACACACACACACATATGTATGTATGTCTGGTGAGGATCCCAGATCCCCTGGAACTAGATTTACACACAGTAGTGAGCTGATGTGCCTGGGCTGGGGATTA